GGTTGGGGGCCCGGTTGGGGGCCCGGTTGGGGGCCCGGTTGGGGGCCCGGTTGGGGCCCAGGTTGGGATACCCCGGTTGGAGGGCCCAGTTGGGGGCCCGCTTGGGGCCCCCGGTTGGGGGCCCCGGTTGAAGGCCCCGGTTGGAGGCTCCGGTTGGGGGCCCGGATGGGGCCCGGATGGGGCCCGGATGGGGCCCGGTTGGGGGCCCGGTTGGGGGGCCCGGTTGGGGGCCCGTTTGGGGGTCCCGGTTATGTGGCTCAGGCCCCTTAACTGGCCCCTAACCGGGCCCCCAACCGGGGCCCCAACCGGGTCCCCCAACCGGGGTCCCCAAGCGGGCCCCCAAGCGGGGCACTAACCAAGCCCCCCCAACCGGGCCCCCCGACCGGGTCCCCAACCGGGGGCACCAACCGGGTCCCCAACCGGGGCCCCCAACCGGGGCTTCCAACCGGGCCCCCAACCGAAGCCCCAACCGGGTTCCCAACCGGGGCCCCCAAGCGGGGTTCCCAACCGGGGCCCCCAACCGGCAGGAATTGATTTTAATTGCAAATTTAATTGCAATTAAAATCAATTTTCATATTTTAAAAATTCATTCCGTCACTTTTTATAATAAAAAAAGAAAAAACTTCGAAACTGATCTTAACAACGATTAAATTGGTAATTGTGCCATCTAGTGTTCTGTCACGGAACTGCTAAGTCAAACAATCAACAGTTTGGCTTAAGAGTTCCGTTACTCAACACTAGATGGCGCAATTATTCAATAGTTTTTATGTAACTGACTTAAACCTATAAACATCTACGTTTGTTCCGTATGACATCTACTCAGGCAGGGACACACATCGATCACCTTCGATACCATTCAAGTGGCAAAAAATTACGAGGAACATTATAGGTTCAAGGAATCTTATAAGGATAAAAAGTGGTACAAAATTATGAAATATTTAGAAAAAAGTTGTATATTATATTGTGTAATTTAATGAAAATAACTCTTACCGATGATATGAAACGCCTTAAACGTATACATTTTTATTAAGTATTAGATTACAAAACAATTGTAATCTGAGAAAAACATAAATTCACTCGAAATAGTTTTTATATTATGTTCGGCTTTACGTTGTCGTACAAGAGATGCCTGATGATGAGAGATGGGTTTAACCTGGTGCTTTGTTAATGTCGCTAAAACGGGTTAAAACCCATTAATGGGTTTCGCGCATTAATGCCGGAAACCGACGGCAAAAACTGTTTACGACGAAATATTTGTTATATATCGAGTTTTGTTCAAATTTAATGATATTATTACAAAATGTTTGTTGCATTCTTATCTGGACAAGTCGACATTTAAATACATAAATTAGGAAGTAATATCGTTTGAAAAAAATGTTTAAACTTTATTTTATTGTGTGGTTTCCTCATCCAATGAGCAAGAATGCGAATATATTGGTTTAGTAAACATAATAGGTAATATTTGCATAATGTTTTAACGGAGTTAAGAAATTAAAACTGCATGTAAATATAATTGAAACAAAGTATGGCGTATCAAATTACGTTCGTTTATTCAATTTATTACTCACATTTCTTTCCTGTAAAAAAGTAAATTATTCTGGCGATCGCTTTCAATACTAATTTTATTTTTTCCTTTTTTATTTCATATTATGAGAATGCAGATTTCGTATAACTTTCATAGTCATGTAAAAACTATACCAGCAATCTTTTGAATTTCCAACCAAAGAAAAATGTCTTAAGAAGAATAAAATAAAATGTTATAATTATAATAAACATTTGTGAAAAACGAATTAAGTGACTTAACGGATTAATTAAAACCATATGTTCGCAAGGTTCGCAAAGGTTCGTAAACATTGTAAATCATTCTAGTACAATTAAATTTTGAATTAAAAACATAATAATAATAGTTAGCCTATATAATATAGTCTCACTGTTGGGCACAGGCTTGTTTTCAAAAAAATAAAACTAACACCCCTCACTATTTTGATACATTTTTATAGCCTATGACACTCTCACAATGAAGACGAATGTAACGATACCTCATATGTCAAAGTCCATCAAACTGTTTAGGCTGTACAGCGTGACATAGAAATGGACATACACATGTACTCGAAAAACACAACCCTCTTTCTGACGCAGTCGGGGAATTAGTTATCGTTGTCAATTTAATGTTAACAATATTAACAATAAAATGTACCAACAGTTTTATATTACATAAATAATGTACGACAAATGGCATAGTTGAACTTGTCATTATGTTTTTTTTTTCATCGAAAGACCACCGAAATCGAAAGTGCACCACAGTCCAACGTCAAGTTCGAATTACAAAACAAAATCCTTTTCCACGCAAGCGTGGAAAAAAACGCTTTTACGCGCAGATTTCTAAAGAAAAAGATAGCCTTTCCGAGCTAGTGTGGTGAAAAAAATATTTAAATTTATACCGTTTTATTTATGTTTATTTAATTTTTTTTTATTTATATATTGTATTGATGTTAGTAATTATAGTCCTATGAGGTTGTTTTATAAATTTTACAAATAGCCCTGTACATGTATGGTTTTTTTTGGTTCATACATAAACGCATTTTCAGACTGGTTTGTTTAGTCAGTATTTACATATCTAAGGCTTCATCATGGAGATTACACCGATTCAAGTGGTGTTCTATTACATCACAGTGGTGCTTTCTCCCAATGAAGTCACCAGTATTGGTAAGTTATGATTTCATTTCCTGAACAGTGCCTCTACCAAGAGCTTATTGTGACAGTTGTCGCTAGCGACTGCGTAAATAACTTCACACTTTTATATAACAAATTCATCGAATGACAAATCATACAGGACCTTAGGCGGTCGCAAGAAGAAACACATATTCTATACAAACACTTTACGCGGTCGCTAGCGATAACTATCAATGTAATCTCATGGTAGAGGCACAGGTCTATGTTTATGAATGAATTCATATAATAGATAGTATTAGGTATACGGTTCTCTATAGCTTCCTTAGTAGACAGAATGTTTATGTCCTTTTTCTTGTTCTAAAATATAAGTACGCATTTGACCTCCATCTCACCTGATGGAAAGTGACGATGAGGTCGACGATGGAGCATGCACACCTAAATAATGACCATTCATTCTCGCCTTGAAAAGGCCCAAGTTATAACGTTCAGGGAACAAGTCTGCAGGCAGGGAATTCCATTTCATAGCCGTTCGCCATATAAATGTGGAAGCGTAACTCTTCGTGCGAATATTTGGACTATAAACAATATAGGGGTGGAACCCAAGCCTACGCCATCTCCGGTGATGGAAAGGAGAAGACGAAATTAAATCGTGTAATTCCATCCCATGTAATAATTTGGTTAGTTTGACCAATGTTCTAAATTGCCACTTATAGTCAAGTCATAAATGTTTTTATAAACAGCCAATTTGAACTTCTAGTAGAACGAATTTACGTACAATTTTGAAAGTACAGTTTTATAGAGAAGTCACGTGGTTTTATGTTACCCAGGTTAATAATATATTTAGTAATCAAGCGCTAATATTCTCTTATTTACAGAAGAAAACAATACAGCAACTCATGAGACTGGATACAAATATAATCGAGCTGGAGTCGATCTGAGAATTATCAATCATGCAAACTATGCCGACGAATCTATTCCACAAAATGAACAAAGATATAATTATATTTACAAAGAATATGTTTCTTTAAACGATGAGCTGGTTAACTACGAGGATCGGCTTATTAATAATAAATTTGAAGAGTTAGAGAACATGCAAGAATTGGAAAAGAAAAGAAGCGGACGAAAATTGGCTAATGAAATAAACAAATTAATCCACGATGTAGAACGAGGGGAAATATTGATAACAAATCGTGGAGGTAATTAAAGAAATTCAACAAAGTTGAACACTGCTGCACGTCAAGCTATACTTATAAAAACTCTCTTATTTATCCTACTTATTTAAAATGTAACGTAGAATTTTCTGTCAAGGGCCACAGTATGGAAGGATATATAAAGCTGTACTGTACCTACGAGAAAGTATCGTGTTTACCGTATGAAATACTTGATTTTGATGTCAGTTTAACGTGAAATGATTTTATACCAGTTTTGTAGTAGCGTATTTTATTTTAGATGGAATTGTTCAATTTGGTGTTTTGATAAATAAATTTAACAAAAAACAATCTCTTATTTACAGATAGACATGAAACATCAACAACCGATCTCTACAAATATTATGAAATTGGTGTCCGAAGGGGATTAATAGATTACCAAAAGTATCCTTTGTCAGCCTTTGTGATCGACGAACCAAAATTCAAAAAACTTTACTTGGAATATGTTAATTTGTCTGACAAACCGATTAAGTACTTAGAGTGGCTTATTAAAAATAACTTCGGAATATTACAAGATACTCATTTCTCAATAATGCAGAGGGCATTACATGAGCTTAAACGTCCAGGTAACAAAAATAAATTTATCAATATTGTACGCCGAGGAGATATATTGCTAACTAACGGGGACAATAGCATGGGTTTAATAGGACTTGCAGCTATAATGGTGACTGATAACTTCGTGCTAGAAATGCCTGGGCATGAAAAAAATAAAACAAAAATGCTATACAGAGGCATTAGTAACAATAGACGAATTATGAAACAAATTTGGTTTGATAAATATAGGCATCATTGGATTAATATTTATCGTTATCCTGATTCAGCTGTTGCTGATGCTGCTGCCAGGTGGGCTTACCGTAACTATTATAACCCTACAGGCGGATCTGTCAAAACTATCCATGTAACATACGAAATAACTTTGAATCTATTATCGAAAAACCCAAGTTACAGCTCCAAATTAGTTCTGCAAGCGTATTATTTCGGCACTAATGCTACCATTGAACAGAAATTGTGTAAATATCAATTTGTTTTTCCAACGGAACTTTATAAATTTTTCAGCAAGTCGTTGAAAAACATGGGAAGATATTAAAAGTGACTTAAGTGATTTTTTATTTTTAATGGTACAAATTACAGAAAACAGATTAACAGCATTTTTAAAACAATTACAAGTAGGATAAAGATAAATCTGCATTCCAGTTACAACCGTACACATCATTCCTGAATAAAAAATAGTGTGATTTTGTAAAAATAAAGAATAATTAAAAACTAAGAAGAAAATGTTTAAGTTAGTTACAATATTTAATATTCAATAACAGAACAGACTTTTTAAATGCGGGAAATGAAATATATCAAGATCATTAGAAAATCCAATTAGATTATACGATTTACATATGTAAACGACGACGAATATTCGTTGAATAAGGTTGTTTGCAGAAATATTATTTTTACTTAAAACTTGAGTAACAAATAACTGCGGTCGACGGACAGAACGAGTTGGCACCCTTAAACGGATTCTGTCGAGCAATGTGTCACCTAATTTACCATTAACTATTTTGTGCAACGTACACAAATCATCTTAATTTATTCTCCAGGGTTAATAAATTAAACTCATTAAGTCGATTCTTATAGCCTGACAATTTACGCCTTAACCAAAGCTTCCTGCAAAGCATTCTTAAAAACCGACGCTGAATAGACTCAATGTTATCAGTGTGAATTTTGTACATGAGGAACCATACCGAGGAGCAGTTTTCAATTACGCTGCGCACTAGTGCACTTTTAAATGGTTTCGCGGCACGAAAAATGTCCTAACATTTTATTGGCTTTGTTGATAACATAATCGTAATGTTTACTAAATGACAAGGAGGAGTAAAAAAATACACCCAAGTCCCTAACAACACACATACGATGAAGCGTCGTTCCGCATAAACTATAGTCATAGTCAATTGTTGTCCTGTTGTGAAGGTAATGATCTGACACTTCTTAATATTCAATGACATTTGATTATTTTTACACCATGTTTTGATCAAGATAAGGTCACCTTGGAGAAGTCCAAAATCTCCCTGCTTTAGAATTTTGTGATATATCTTGATATCGTAAATGAAACTATTTTTCCGGATTTAAATCGCGTGTATTTGTTTTTTCAAACAAACTGACGTTTCGGGCCCTTTACAAATCCCATGGTCACGGTTGACTGAGGTGGTACAGTCTTCAACCAGTTATGTCTAATATTGATGCAAACCACCCTATTTTTTCACTAGTTACAATAGTTATTAATTAAATACCTTATTTTTAATTTTACAAAGAAAACATTCCAATTTACGCTACATTAAGTTTTACGAATTATTTTATTGAATGAATTTCTATTAAGATCAATTTATTATTAATTAATAATAGAAATTAGAATAAACTAAAACATATTAATTAGTACTGCAGTCTTATGTCTGTTTGGGATTTTTCATTAGAGGAAATACTGGATCCCGAACTGGTGGTACGGAGAAACCATCTTCCTTGTTAAAATTAGGATGTTTTTTAATTTCAATGGCCTCTCGCAGCATCCTGGGTAGATAACGGACTTCTTTTGCAAGGACCTGGGGTTTGTCACACTTCATTGAATGTGTAGGTTTATCCATGACATGCTCGCAGACAGCAGACTTGTTTCTGACTCTCAATGGTGACAGTACCTTTGCCATGTGTTGAGCCAGTTTGTAGGTTGGTGTGTCAATCTGGCTAACTATGGGACGGAGTGGGGTGTCAGGCTTATGTATTTTTGGTAAGCCATACAGTTTTGAAGGTTTTACGCAGCAGGGTACAAACTCACTTACATCAAGTTTCAGCGTATCGAAGAAGGAAGATTTCAGTTCCTGAGACCCGTGAAATGTAACATCCTCTTACAGGACGCAGGAGTTTACAAGCTTGACTGTGAGTGCGGTCTCCTTATATTGGACAAACAAAGCGAAGTATTTGTACCCGGGTCAAAGAACATATAGCTGATGTCAAACACCGTCGCGTAAACAAGTCTGCAGTCTGCGAGCATGTCATGGATAAACCTTTTTTTTTATGGGGGGGAAATCTTTATGGATACCCCTGAGCCCAGGGAGACTCAGGGGTTATGTGGGGACTCTCTCTCCACACTGGAAGGCCTACCCCACTAAAACCCCCCCGGGTTTCCCTCTCGCCGGTTGAGTCGGCGCCGTGGGATCAGTGAACATTCACCACGACGCCGCCCGGGGTCATGGATAAACCTACACATTCAATGAAAGTTTGACAAACCCCAGGTCCTTGCAAAGGAAGTCCGTAATCTACCCAGGATGCTGCGAGAGGCCATTGAAATTAAAAAAGATCCTAATTTCAACAGGGAAGATGGTTTCTCCGTACCACCAGTTTGGGATCCAGTATTTCCTCTAATGAAAAATCCCAAACAGACATAAGACTGCAGTACTAATTAATAAGTTTTAGTTATTCTAATTTCTATTATTAATTAATAATAAATTGAACTTAATAAAAATTCATTCAATAAAATAATTTGTATAACTTAATGTAGCGTAAATTGGAATGTTTTCCTTGTAAAATTAAAAATAAGGTATTTAATTAATAACTATTGTAACTATAGCGAAAAAATAGGGTGGTTTGCATCAATATTAGACATAACTGGATGAAGACCATTTTGAAAGATTTGTGTACGGGAGTTATCCTTGCGATCTTCCAAATGGATGGGAACACATCATCGTTTAAGGATTTGTTAGCGGACGCACAAAGGCGCACAAAGATAGGAGGTATTCCATCAGATCCACCTCAGTCAACCGTGACCATGGGACCTGTAAATGGCCCGAAACGTCGGTTTGTTTGAAAAAACAAATATACGCGATTTAAATCCGGAAAAATAGTTTTATTTCCTATGTGTAACAATCGCGCAAAACCTAAGAACTCAATATCTTGATATCGTCAGCATAAGCACGACACTCACTTGTCACTCTCTCCAGTCATTGACAAAAATAAGGAACAATAATGGACCTAAGCATAATCCCTGACGAACTCCGGTCACCGCCACAAAAGGTCTAGAGTCAAAGCCATACAACGATACCGGCTGTGTTCGGTTAGCTAGGTACGAAGTTAGCCAGCGATGAAGATTCCCATTTCCCATGTATACCTAAGTGATTGGCCTTCGACATTAGGATCGATTGATTTACTCGATCAAATGCTTACGAAAAATCAGTATATATGGCGTCAACCTGAGCCCTCTCGTTAAATAAATTACACAAGAATGATGTGTAAACGAATAAGTTTGATAGAGTAGAACGGCCAGTTACAAAACCATGCTGCTTGGGATTAATCCTATGAACCACCTCACAATATATATATTCATACCCTCAAATATCTTTGCAAAATAGCCAAGGATACTAATAGGACGATAGTTAGTCACATCATGCCTATCATCCGATTTGTGTACGGGAGTTATCCTTGCGATCTTCCAAATGGATGGGAACACATCATCGTTTAAGGATTTGTTAGCGGACGCACAAAGGCACACAAAGATAGGAGGTATCCCATCAGATCCAGCATCTTTTGTCACATTAACCTTCCTTAGATGAAGTAGTACTTGATCAGAAGACAGGCTAATACTGGTTAGGGAGAAATTAGGCGATGAAAAATCTGGAACGTAGTTTATATCTTTGTTAGATCCGAACACAGTAGAGAAAAAGACTCCGAATAGGTTAACAATTTCATCGCCAGAACTTGTAGTACGATCTTCATAAAACATATGATTGGAATATCACTAGTTATTCTTTTACTTTTTGTATAACGCCAAAAAGACTTAAGACTGGTGCACAAGCCACGCTCTACTTTTGCAACAAATGATGAAAAGCATGTATTCATTAATTCCTTGACACGCGCCCTCAGCAGACTGAAAGTGTCATAATCGCGAGAATTTCCGTATCGCTTATAACGTATGTAGTATCTTTTCTTACTTTTAAATAAATTAATTACATTATTCGTAAACTAACATGGATACTTTATTGATTTAGCTGTCAATTTCAGTGTATGTCTTTCGATTACTGTATACAGTGAGTTGTAAAAGTGTTGAACAAAGTCATCACAATTGAAAACCAAGGCTTGCCCATCTCAATCTATAGACCGGAGCTCATCTATGCAAGCCTCATAATTACTCCTACGGAAACACAACTTATTAATCAACTGCGAACAAACTAATTATTCCGCACTGTGAAATGTTAATTGCAAGGGTGGATGATGGGAATCTACGAGGCTTATTGGTACAACCGAAGTTAGTGTAAAATTATTGGGAACATCACTGATTGCCAGATCCAGGATTTGACTGTTACGATTCCGAATAGTATTGATCTGTCTCATAGCCGAGCATCTACAGAGATCAACCAAATACCTGGACTTACCATTAATAGAATTCACGGGGCTACCTGTTTCCCTACACCATTCTAAGTCACCCTTATTGAAATCTCCAACTATCAAGGTGCAAAAATTGCCAGGCATGTTGGACACATCCTTAAAAGTACCAATGCAGTCAGTATACATGGCCACAGGCAAATAGTCAGGAAGATAAACAGTACACAAATTAATTGTAAGTTTCTATTTAGCATTACCTTCAGCCAAATATCCTCCACAAAAACCGATTGCCAACTTGCTCTAAGGTTTATATTTAAATTCTTGGATACCGCGAAGGACACACCGCCACCATGGTTCTTATTAAATTGTTTGTTAAAAACGTCATCGCGATTCCTTAGGAAAACACTGTACCTATCATCAAACAGCTCGGATGAATGTGTTGAGTACAACAAGCATGTTTCACAAAGACAAATAACATCGTAGTTATTGTTTAGCACATTATTATAAAATTCATTAGTTTCAAATTTTAAGAAATTTACTATC